GCATCTAATGACCCCCTGTGACCTGGTAGCATCTAATGACCCCCTGTGACCTGGTGGCATCACATCAGAGTCACCATGTTATTTCATCTGCCTTTCAGTGTTTGGGACAAGGTGATGTGTGGGTCACAGCCCTGTACAGATAGTCCACAACTTATAGTGGTTCAACTTATAATTTTTTGACTTTACAGTGGGTTTATTGTGGAATTCCATGAATTTGTGACTTGCAATATTTTCAACTTAGTGACGGGTTTGTTGGGACGTGAACCGTCCTACACTGAGCAGCGTCCATACGGGAGTCCCTTCTTCATTTTGATGCTGTCTGTATCCTCTGGCCTAAGGGAATTAGCCGGCTGTGATGAATTTAGACTCGTACCTTGTAGAATCTATCTTGGCAACTCTTCAGCTATGTTAAAGAAAAATACACCCTCCTGCTTCCACCAGTCTCTTCCCAGTTTCAATTTATAATTTCATGTATCCAGTCAGAGTTTTTCACCCATCAGAACAACACTGCTTTGTTTTCATGAAATATTTTTATGAGTTTCTTATGTTTTTCATCATGAAATGCACTGGGACATAACTCAGCTCTGTGTGTGGAAGCTTGCTCCCCATGTTGCCATTAGTAATTCACAAGCTCCATAGAATTGCTTCAGACTTTTAAACCACGTATCTCTCATCTTAACACCCCCAGTGTCATTTCAGATTTAGAAAACAAGATGCTTCTGTGACCAGCTTGCAGCCTCAGGAGACCTTGAATCTTTTTTCTGTTTCTTGTTTCTGAGTTCAGGATGCTTGAAACACCTAACTGGCCCCCTGGGTGCTCAAACTTTTTAAACAGGGGGCCAGTTCACTGGCCCTCAGACCATTGGAGGGCCAGACTGCGGGCCCAGGACGAGTCGGCTGCTAAGCAGGACAGACAGCAGCGGCAAAAACTCCTGACGGGCCCGGTAAATGTCCTAGGCAGGATGCATGTGGCCTGTGGGCCGTAGTTTGAGGACGCCTGGCCTAAAGTATAGAAATGCTGCAAATCAGAAGTGATAACTGTGCAGTCACACGCCCTCACAGGGCACGTGACCAGCGCCGTGGGGGCCGGAGGAGAGAGCGTGCTGTCACAGCTCATCATAGAAACTCCTATGTGTAGCACCCGCAGCTCGGGAGACAACTGAGCAGGCTGCTGGGTCAGGGGGCCAGGTGTGTGCCGCCAGCCCCCCAGGGAGCAGCCGTGAGGTCGTGTATCTCCCGGGGTCCAGACCCCACCTGGCTGCACTGGGCATGGAAATCCCACTGGTGCTGGTGCCGTTCTCACACTTACTCCCCAAAGAGCCAGGCTTCGAAATTTGTGTGAACTGTTAATAGTCTAGGGATAATACAAACTGGTTTTGAGAGCTCCAGGCCAGTTGGGTCGTTGGGCTTGGCTTGGCTTGGCTTTTCTTTTCTTTACTTTTCTTTTCTTTCCCTCTTCTCCCCTTCCCTCCTCTCCCCTCCTCTTCCCTTCCCTCTTCTTTTTTTTTTGAGACAGAGTCTCACTCTGTCACCCTGGGTAGCGTGCCATAGCGTCAGCCCCACTCACAGCAACCTCAAACTCTTGGGTTCAAGGAATCCTCCTGCCTCAGGCTCCTGCATAGCTGGGACTACAGGCACCCGCCACAACATTTGGCTGATTTTTTGATTTTTAGCTGAGATAGGGTCTCACTCCTGCTCGGGCTGGTCTCACACTCCTAAGCTCAAGGGTTCCTCCCACCTCAGCCTCCCAGAGTGTTGGGATCACAAGCATGAGCCACCACCTGCCTGGCCCTCTTTCTCTTTTAAGTTGTAAGAAACTTGGTTTTGTAGAGAAGGAAAAAGGCTTTTCTTGGGTCTCCTCTCAAATTCAGTTTTTGTCAAGTCTCATTGGGATCAATACTCAGAGTAGCTTGTCTCCTCTGCTTCCTTTATAATCAAGTAGAATCTTTTCTTTGGGGTGTTTTTAAACACTCTCTCGAAGAAATGAGGTCGTTTCCTATACAAATTCGTGTTTTTCTAAAATGAGGCATTAGTGAAAGATGGAATAATTTTTCACTCCCTCTGGTGCGTATGAAACTGCTACTAGAATCATGGTGGAATTTTAGGAGCAAGAGAAATAAAAGAACTTTATTCCTCTGAGACTAGAATTTCTAAATTAACCACAAATGAATCATTCTTCTATACTCGAGTGCTACTGATTCTGCTGGAAATATATTAATGACAAGGCTGATTGCTGCATTTCACAACTGTGTTTTGCTTCTATTTGTAAATGTGATGTTGCAACGAATTTCTGGATTTTTAATCCAGTCATCTTTTTTTTTTTTTTTTTGAGACAGTCTCACTCTGCCACCGAGGCTAGAGTGCCATGACCTCAGCTTAGATCACAGCAGCCTCAAACTCCTGGGTTCAAGCCATCCTCCAGCCTCAGCCTCCCAAGTAGCTGGGACTACAGGTGCCTCCCACAACACCTCTCTAGTTTTTCTATTTTTGGTAGAGACAGAGTCTCTCTCTTGCTCAGACTGGTCTCAAACTCCTGCGCTCAAGCAATCCTCCTACCTCGGCCTTAAGGAGTGCTGGGCTCACAGCCGTGATCCACCACATCCAGCCAATCAAATCATCCTTAATCTTGCCCTCTTGCTTTCTTGGGGAACTAGTGTCCCCAAAAGACAGGGATGCTAGACCCTGTTACCCCACTGTTTTAGGGCAGGGCTTCTCAGACTTTCACTGTGCAAATGCATCACCTGTGGGTAATTTTTAACCTTCCAATTCTGAATTAGTAAGTCAGGGTGGGATCTGAGATCCTGCATTTCGAATAAGCCCCTGGTGATACTGTTGTTGCCAGGGCATTGGTCAAACTTAGAATAGCAAGACTTTAAAATCTCTCTGCATAATGAAGTTGAATGGTGAAGGGTAGGATTAAAAGCATTAAATGTGTCAGCATTTGTAAGGACAGGTGGGTGACTGGACATTACCTTCCTAAAGGCAGACCTGACGCTTCACGCCCTCCCTGCTGGAGACATTCTCTGTACAAAGGCCGCCTCCTGTGTGCCCTTCTACTACTATTTTAGGACTAACTGACGCCGGCTTCTGTTGGAATCCTTGTGCAGGGTGGTATCTCTGTGCTCCGGGTCCCGAATGCCTACAGTGAGCAAAGTTCCTGGCACCTGACCAAGGGCCATTAAGTGAGTCGGATTGAATCAAACTGAATTGATTGAATTTCACTGGAACGATATAAAGATGACCTGGTTTTGTATCTTTGAAGTCCTTTGTCTCCTCCCTAAGCACTTTATGCTGCTTTTATGTACAGATTCCAGATCATGCTGTCTATACTTGATATC